ACAGGGCACCCAGGAAACCCCCGGACTGCTGGGGATCTCCTGTGAGGCCTCCTCACACCCCTACAGCCTCACCCGGTCCTCGGAATGATATACACAACAGAACCATAAGCCCACCCGGCTGTAACAAAACAATAGGCCTACTGGCAATAACAAAACAATAAGCCTACCGGCTATAACAAAACAGTAAGCCTACCAGCCACAACATAGAGTCCAGGCCCACCTGGCTTTCTGGCCCACAGCCTCCTGGTCAGGCTTCTCTCTGACTTCACCATAATGCAGCCCTCTATGTGCTCAGGCTGCACTGCTCCGCTTAGCCCTCCTGCAGAGCTCTTACCCTCAGGCTGCCAGAAGGGAACTGCTAGCCAGGCTCCGGCCTGGCTGTTTATAAGGGCCCAGCCCTGCCCCCTTCCGGTCGCATGACCAACCTGGTTGCTCCAGCAACCCGCACCTGAGCTGCCCTGGTGATTGACAGCTACCCTAATCCCCACTCAGGCACGGGGCACCCAAGTGGCCCCATGACACCATGAATAATCAGTGCCTTCTGAGACTGGGGGCAGCACCATTTGTAGGCAGCAGCATCCACAGTGAGTGGGGGTGGGGAATAAGTGGGGACTGCTTGCTGATGACAGCGGTAACATTGGTGGGGGGGGCAGGTGGCAAGCAGTGACTGCTCACAGAAGCTGGCGGCAGTGGCCAATCTCGGGGGGGAGGGGCATGTGCCCCCCCCATGAGTTGCCTATGCTGACAGTCTTATTTTGTGTTGAGATAGGGTCTGACATCCTACTGGATGCAGGTCACATACATACACTCAACTATCATCAGCTGGTTGAGGTCCACAAGTTGTGCATGTAGAAAAATTTGTCCAAAGCCTGAATCTGCTAAGCCCAGGATCTGGGTATCCGCTAAGTTAACTGGAACCACATTCATCTCTCCCCTGGGGTCTCTGTATGGACCTCAGAGGTCCAAATCTGCACATGCCTGAAGTCCATCAGTGGAGAGTCCTTGTGCCAGTGCCCCAGTTTCTCACAAATAAAACAGATTAAGAGTTCCCCTTGTTCTCATACTGGTGACATGTCCTGGAGGTGATCCTTTTTGGTCATCCCATGGTTGGCCCTATGTGGCTGTGCCAGCCCTTGCTTTCACAGTGATCAAGGAAGGAGTCTAGGGCATGGGGTAGGACCATGCACCAAAGAGCTCCTAGTCATAGAAAGTCCTCCCCTGGTTTGGTTCAGGCCCTTTGGTCCAACAGAGTATTTTCTGCATTCCAGTTTGACTTCTAGGAAGTTCTCAAATACGCCAACTGCCTCCCTGACTCTTCTAACCTAGTGCTTGCAAGCTCATTCCCTGGTAATATCTTCCAGAACAGCTCCAAGGTTATTAAGTCTACTGTCTCGTTGGCTGGGTGTGACTCTGATTTAGAGCTAGGAGTCTGAGTTAGACAGTTCGTCCCTGAAATGGCATCTGTATGACTCCTTTAAACCCAGGTGGCCTAAAATGACAGGCTTGAGGATTTCATAGTCCCATGCAGCCATGGATCCCAAGGTCCAATATGGTGCCTGAGCTTCTCCTGGTAGATAAGGGGCCAGCTTCATGGCCCACTGATCTTGGGGCCATTTGTATATTCTGGACATTCATTTAAAAGTTTCAAAAAAAGCATTGGGATCATCCCCCCCGCTCCCCCTGCCCCGACACCTCCTCTGCCTGGGCTTACATAGTGGCACCAACCTGCATGTTGAACTACACTTATTCCAGTAGCCAAGGCGTGATCTTCCGCCGCTCCTCATGTAATCTGCTGAAACTACTGCTGCAGGCCCTCCGGTCATGTTAGCAAGACTTTGGTATCCATCCTTAAGTGGCTGGGGCTGAAGCTGCCCACGCTCTCCACCAACTATGAGCAGGTCCTTTACTCTGCTGCCTTTAACTCTGCCATTAGTAAACTGCTTCAGGCAATTCTGTTCCCATAACACAAACTCTAGTCTCTAACAACACAAACAGAACAAACTACAAGCCTGTCCTCTCTGGACATGAGAAGAGCCACTTTCCACTCTGGTTTTCCCCCAGCACCACAGCCTGGTTTCTTCTCCTTCTCAGTGCTTCCCTAACAGCCTGCCTCCCTTCTGGTCTCTCCTCTGGGGTTTTAACACTCCTTTGCTAGCACACTTGCCCCCAACTGCAGGTCTTTAACATAGACCCTCTTCTTAATGAGACAGACTACCCCATTACAACATTACATTAATCCTAGCAACCCCAAAGAGAAGCACACGCTGTCACACTGTACTAATTTGTAATGAGAGCGTAAAAAGAAATGAGCTGTATTCATCTTGTTGTTTCAAGGACTGTCCTTGGACTAGAAATGTATCAGAGGAAGAACTTCAGAAGAAACATGTAAACCTGCAGAACAGAACAAATCTACAGCACTGGATCTGGGATGTGATCTGTTAAAATGCATACACATGCAGAAAGGCTAGACGGCTCTGGAAAAGTGTCAGGGAGGAGAGGGAAGAGTTCAAGACAAGAATTAATGGGAAATTCAGTTCTATTTGGTCATGTCTGAGATCCCACTGCAGATTACAAAAGGAATGGTAATTTTCAAGGGAAATTGTCATGCTACAACCCTGAGAGACACGAATGTAATTAAGGAGGAGGAAGAGGTTTCCAAAAACTTTTACCATAAAGTGACATGATATGACATCAAATTCCAATGTCTTTGAAAAGGCCTTGGCTAGTGTTGACCTGTAAACTCTGCTAAGAAGTTTCAGACTAGAAAATAACATGGCAAAAACAAGTTTGAATGACCTTGATAAAATATCGAAAGCCACTGAGATAGCATTACCATCGCTCTGAATTGGGCTTGTGCAATGGCAAGAAGTACAGCACAACTAGATTATCATTGCTGCTGTTTTTGACGATACACGTGTATTGCCAGCTCCCATCTGAGATCAGGCCCACAGGGTGGGTTGGCGCTCTACAAACACATGCAGAAAAATGCTGGCTGTGTTCAAGAATACTTTAGGAATCCACGATTGGACGTAGATTCAAATGCTCTGAATTGTGTAAGGCACAGATTAATATAGTTCAAGGAGTTTTATGGCACAGATAAAGCAGGGAGACCTAGAACAGCTGGTATTTGCTGTTTCCTCCTTTTCTTCTCCCTTTAATTATCCATTTTCCCTTCTATCTTTCACTCCCCTGTAAATAAATAATAGGGTCGAGAAGGGAAATTGCTAACAGGGATGAACGTGGTGAGCCTTGAGAAGTAAACATTGAGAGAGAAGAGAAGGGTTTGTTAAACTGAGATTGAGAGGTCCCATTGCCCAGGGGCCGCATGGAAAGCGCACAACAAATGAAAGGTGGCAGGGTGATATTAAAACCCCTCTGCAAAGTGAGGAACACAAGCAATGAAGTTCAATGTGGGCAGAGATGAACTGTGCCGTAAAGGAAATTGTGCTATGCGCCCTCACCTTCCTGGATAAGAAGGGAGCAAAATAAGAATTGAGATTCAGATATATACAGTGTGGGTAAGAGAGAGAGAGCTTTTGAACAGAAATCCATAAGTGGCCTTAAGAGCTCCATGACATTTTCCTTTTCCTTCATTTAGTTAAACATGTATTTAAATGGTACAGATGGCTCCCACACAGGTTTGGCTCAGGTCGCTGCTTGTATGCTCACAGGTAGGGTATTTTCCTCGTGCTTAGCCAATTCATAATAAATCTGTGTGGAGCTGCCATCTTAGGACCAATCCTGGAATTACAATACAGTGCAGTATTGGGAAGGCCTGTTCCCGTGTTCTTTGCTCAGGGACATAGAGCTCAGCCAGACAACCGATGAGGAGCAAGGTTATATCATTCCCAGAAACTCCAGTCTCCAAAAATGTTGTTTCCACAGCAACATCATAAGCCTGGGGCCAGAATGCAAGCTGGGGTAAACCACCACAGGCTCATTGTCTTTCAGTGGCTGATACTAATAAGGCTAAAATCATTAAGTCACATGGTCCACTATTAAATAAGGTAAAAACCACGGAGGCTGATTCGGTATCTCTGCTGGTGGGTAACCCAAGCATCATGTCATCTTCCTGCTCTGCGGGCAAACGTTCCATTACACGAGAACATTTTTTTTTCAGTGGATTTGTACCAGGAACAAGTTTGGTTTGATGTATTAATTCATATGCATTTCTTAGTGGTTGATGGTTTGCTCAGCTATGAACAACATGCATTTAAAGTCATGGTCCCTCTCCAAGAAGCTTGCAGTCTGAAAGGGGCAGCTTTGAACGTACAATAAAACTGCTTTTCTGAAACAACAGCTGTGCTAAAAGAAGTGGCAGGGCATGCGTGCGCCCCAGTTGGGTATGTACAAAATCAATATCTTAATTCGGGGTGGGTGAGAGGGGCACCTGCCCCAGGTACCAAGTTAGGAGGGGAACATAACGCCACTCCCGCAGAGTCTGTGCCCCAGCTCTATGTCTATGCCAAAAACTCCAAAACAATTCTTGGCTGTGGCTGGCGCTTTAAGACCAACAGCTGGGGTGGGCAGAGTGCATGGTGACAGTAGCTGAGCTGGGGGCCTGTTTAGCGGTTCCCACCTACCAGTTCCCAGTAAGGGTGGTGCTCTGCCCCTGCACCACCACTCCCAGTACCAAGCTTCCCCTGCTCTTGGACACTGTGTGACCCCCGCCACACCTCGCAGGATTTCCCCAGGTGCTTGTTTCTCCACTGTACAAAACTACATGTGCAAGAACCTGGGTCATATGACCATGGTATGAAATGTATCCAGTTTTGGTTTTGCATGTGTTCGCTTGCATGGATACAGCAGCAACTCGGTGAATTTGTCTGAGGAGACTATTTATAGAAATTAAACTATTTGAGTTTGCTTTTGATGGAAGATTTCTGGGTGAGCAAATGACACCAGATTCAGTTGTTATGACGGTCATCAGCATGGCTCGTGTTAGACCTTGTGCTCATGCCAGTTTCCACATTCATTGCTCAGCAGATCCTTACTGCACAGACCGTCCATATTGCAAAGAATGGGACAGTCCTGGAACTTTATCTGTACCACAAGGTAAACTAGAACTTAACTGACACAAAGCAGAGTTCCCACTTATAAAATTAAGCCTCACAGGACCAAGTCAGTAGGACATAATGGGTGTGTCTGCATGTGCATTTAGGCATGCCTAAATTTAATGCGCATTAGTTTAATGTGCATTAAGGCAATTTAGGCTCGAGTCTACACATGCACATGTTAAAGCACATTAATGCTGTGTGCGTAGACAGATGAGGCAGCCCATACATAGTGTTAATGAGCCTTAATGTGTCTACACATTTGTTAATGCACTTTAGCTATGCACACCTAAATTTGATACCTGTTTTTGCAGGTATCAAATTTACGCATGCCTAGCCTAAAATCACCATTTTTAAGGTGTATTAAGGGTGCACACGTATCAGCGTGTGCCTTTTAAGGTGCTTTCACCTGATTTAAGATGCATTAATTGGCACAAGTAGATGCACCCAATGTGGAACTGCCATTGCCATATCATGACATGCCACAATGAAATATCATGTAATCCTAAAATGTGCGTATAATGACAAGCATCACCTTGTTTAGCACCCGGTCTGACAACACCACATCTGCCCTCAGCCTTTTCTTGTTTCTTATGGCTTAATGTCGACTGGGAGCAAGAGTTTCAGCTCTAACCCTTTGTTTATTATCGATATATAAACTGACCTCAAAAGCCATTGATTCTAACTACAGTTCATCTTCTGGAGCAATGGAAAAGACCCAGTGGCTACCGGGTATTTTAAAGGCCTCTCAGGGCCTCAAAAAATCTGCACCTCTTGATGAAGTGGTAAATGGTGGATTTCTTCTGTCTTTCCCAGTAGCATCGGTTGTCATTCTCGGCTGCATTCTCCCCTGCAGCAGTCTGTTTGGAAAGCCGGCCTGCCTCTTCCAGTTCTTTCTTCCCTTTGTCTGATGATTTCGATATCAGAGACCAGAGACTCTGAACTAGGTTTTCCACCCGGGCTTCTAGCACTAAAGATCACAGCAGAAGATGTGAGGAATATGGCAATACCTAGCGGAAATGAAAAACGCACTTGTTTCCTAGGTCCACATCTCTCTCCATCACTGCATAGTGAAACTTCTTGCCAGAGAGGCTGAAAATCCTTTTATGAAATCATAATTTCCTGAGCCTTTGACACTTTGAACGGCTGCAATA